TGCCCAGGCTGGAGTGCAATGGTGCGACCTTGGCTCACTGCAACCTCTGTCTCCTGGGTTCAAGCAATTCTGCTGCCTCAGCCTCCCAAGTAGCTGGGATTATGGGCACCTGCCACCATACTCAGCTATTTTTTTTTTTTTAATTTTTAGTAGAGACAGGGTTTCACCATGTTGGCCAGGCTGGTCTCAAACTCCTGATCTCAGCCTCCTAAAGTGCTGGGATTACAGGTGTGAGCCACTGTGCCCAACCTTAAAGCAGTCTGTAAAAAAGAGATTCAATGATCAGTTCAAATTCTCTTAAAACAACTCACAAAATAGAACATCTCAGCCAATAAAGAGAAGTTATTTATCTAAAAATACAAACAAATGGAAATTATACCACCAAAAGTATAAAACAGAAATGAAAAACTCACTGGTTGGGCTTAATAGTAGAGTGGAGATGTCAGTGGATAGTTTGTGAAGTGGAGGACAGATCAATAGCATTTGTCTAATCTGAACAACAGAGAGAAAATAGACTAAAAACAAACAAAAAATGAATAGACCTCAAAGACCTACAGGACAAAAGATCCAACATTCTATCATCAGAGTTCTGGAAGGAGAGGATAAACAGAGTAGGTATAAAAAAGTATTAGAAGACCTCATGGCTGAAAATGCCCCAAACTTGGCAAAAGACAAAGCTCTATAGGTTTAAGAAACTGAGCGCATGCCAAGCATGATAACCCCAATAAAATCCACTTAAAAACACATAATTGAACAGCAAACAAATTTGAATGACATTCATTTCTGCTCTGAATCCATGAAGGGCAGAAAGAAGTGGCACATTTTCAAACACTGAAATAAAAGAATTGTCAACCCCAAATTTTTATATCCAGCAAAACTATTCTCCAGCAATGAAAGGAAAATAAAGACATTATCAGAAGAAGGAAAGCTAAAAGCAGTTGCCACTAGCAGACCTACTTTAAAATAATGACTAAAATAAAATCTTGAAACAGAAAAAAAAAATTGGAGCCTTGGGAAGGAAGAGGCAATAATGGAAAGAGCAGAAATAAGGGTACATATGGTAGACTGTTCTTTCCATGAATAGTTATGAGTTTTAAAATCACATTTGAGGATTTAAATAAAAATTACAGAACTGTCTGATGCTCAGGACAACACTGTTTAAAAGTGAGTCAGGTAAAAAGACGTAAATAGAAGTCAGAAGTCCATTCAAAGCAATGGAATGTTGGTGTAGGTAGACTGTGCGAAGTTGCATATTTATATTGTAATGCCCAAAGCAATCACCGAAATAACTTTGCAAAAACAATGTATTCAGAATCACTATAGATAGATAGATCTTAAAATATATGCAAGTAACATAAAGAAACAGAGGAATGAGAACTACAGGAAATAACCGGAAAACAAACAATAACATGATGGCCTTAATTGCTGAAATACTATTTATTTTAAATGTAAATGGTCTAAATGCATCAGTCGAATCACAGCTACTGGCAGAGTGGATTAGAAAAATGACCTAACTGTATGCTTTTTATAGGAAATTCACTTTATACACAGTGACATAAATAGATTGAAAGTAAAATGATGGAAAAAGATATAGCACACAAATAATAAAATAAATCAGGTGTGGATATACCATAGCTGATAAAATGGACTTCAGGGCAAAAAACCTTACTAGAGATGAAGAGGGACATTAGATGATAAAGGATCAATCCATCAGAAAGACAAAGATCCACATGAGTACACATCAAATAACAGAACCACAAAATTTAAACAGCAAAAACTGAAAGAGCTGAGAGAAGAAATAGGTAAATCTGTAGTTTTAGTTAGGGCCTTCAATTCCTCCCCCTCAGCAACTGATAAGCCTGCTGTAGGTAGAAAATTAGCACAGATATTGATGATCTAAACAACACCATATACCAATGGTGCTCAGTTGAGACAGATCAAACACTCTAACCAACACTAAAAAAACACATTTTTTTTTAAGCCTCCATGGGACATTCATCAAAATAGATCATATCTTGAGCAAAAAGAAAACCTCAACAAATTTAAAATAATTGAATCATAGAGAATGTATTCTCCGAGCCTAGTGAAATCAAACTAGAAATTCATAACAAAATCAAATGTGGAATTTAGCAGTTTTTCGTTGAAAGTGACAAGCTGATTTTAGATTATGTATATACATTTGAAAAAATAACAAAGTCGGACAACTTACAGTTCTTCTGCCCAGAACTTATTCTAATGCTAGACTAATGGAAACACTGAAGTATTGGCATAAAGTATATAGATAAAGGGATATAAAGAGAGTCCAGAAATAAATCCTTATATTTATGGCCAACTGAATGTTGATAGAGATGGCAGGAGTTCTAAAGGGAAAGCTTAGTTCTTTTGAGGGACAGTGCTGGGACACGTGGGTATCCATATATAGAAAAATTAACTGAGACCCTTGCCTCACATTGCCTCCAAAATTAACTAAAAGTGGACCTTAGACCTAAATGTAAAAGCTAAAATTACAACATTTCTAAAAGAAAACAGGAGAAAATCTTTGTGACCTTGGGTTGGGCAAAGTGACAGTAAACACAGGATTCAAAAATGAAAGAATTGATGTAATTAAAAACCTTTGCATTTCCAAAGACACCGTTAAGAAAATGAAAAGATAAATAAGCCCCATACTTGCAAATCAGATAAATCGATAAAGAACTTGTTCCCAAAGTATATAAAGACCTCTCACAACTCAGTAATGATGTGACAGAAAACTCAATTAAAAATAGGCACGAAAGATTTGAGTAGATATTTTCCTAAAGAAGATATCCAAATGGCAAGCAAGTACGTGAAAGATGTTCAGTATCATTACTCATTAGGGAAGCGTAAATTAAAACCACAATGTGGTATCACTACATCGCCACTACAATGGCTATAATCCAAAAGACAGACAATGCCAAGTTCTGGCAAGGATGTGGAGAAACTGGGTATTTGTACATTGCTGGTTGGAATACAAAATGATCCCACCACTTGGGAAAACAATTTGGTGGTTTCTGAAAACATTAAAGCTACCCTGTGACCCAGCAGTTCTGCTCGTAGGACCCTATCCAACAGAAGTGAAAGCCTATGTCTCACAGAAACATGTATACGTTGTTCATAGCTGCTGTGTTCATGATAACCAGAAACCAGAGGCAATCTAGATATATCCATCAACTCGTGAATGGGAAAACAAAATTAATATATCCACCCAGTGAGGTACCACTTAGTAATAAAAAGGAACACTCTGTGGGTATGGACCAAAGCATGGAGGAGCCCCAACAATACTAAGTGGAAAAAGCCAGGTGCAAAAAATTACATATCGTATGATTCCATTTTTATTAAATGTCTATAAGAGGTAAATTTATGGAGACAGAAAGTGGGTTTGTGGTTTCCTAGAGCTGAGGATGGGAGTGGGGATTTACTATAAATATACAAGATGGAACCTTTGGGGGCGATAGAAATGTTTTAAAACTGTTTTGTAATGATGCATAAATCTAAAAGCTATTGAATTGTACACTTAGGATCAGTACATTTTATGGTACATCAACTATGCCTCAATAAAACAATTTGTTTCTTTTTTAAAGTATATGTCCCCGTGAAG